GTATGTTTTTTATATTTAAAGAGTTTTTATATTTTATATATTTAAAGCGAGTTTTTTTGGGCAGTGTAGAGTAGGGCTTGTTGTTTGTCATTTCTCCGATCACAAATGCAGACATGGTTTTATATTTATGCGGCGCGATGCAATGCAACGCGTTAAAAAAGACAGTATATGTCATTATAATCCGTAATTATGTCCCCACTGGATGCAACAAATGCCTCGTTTATAATGGGTTTTAATGTTTTTGTCTCGTCGCTCACAATATGGCAAGGCATCACAATATGGCAAGGGGCGTAACATTTCCGTCACACGCTTGAGGTATCTAAAAATCGACGCGTTTCAGAAAGGCGGGGCATAGAGGAGAAACAATAATGTACAGTATGTGGAAAATAATGTTTTTTTAACCTTAAACCGCATAAACATTTCATTACACCAAATACCCAAAATAATGTTCTTTTTAGCAACATCATATGACCGCTTTAAAGATATAGTTCTAAAAATCGTTCTCAATATTAAAGAATAGCAGAGTCCACACCACAGCTATAACGATAAAGGCACAGAGAAACGATATTGTTGGAATCATTTCCAGAACTATTTTTTCCAGCTGATGAACGATAAAAACATTGGCAGCTAATCAGAATTAATCCTGCTATAACGAGCTCGAGAGTTTAAAGCGGCAGACGAGCGTTTGCTTGGAATAAACACACGGTATAGTCTGCTGGTGTGGATGCTAATATAGTTATCTTTATACTTATCATTCTTGGTGTGAACAGGCCTTTAGAAATATCATCAATTTCTGGAATCATACTCAATTAATTAATTAAAAAGAAGAAAGAATTACAGAGGACGAGATTCCATCTAGAAGACAAGCTTAGAGAACCATTGAGAAAAAAAAGAACCTAATTTTTTTTTTTTTAAATAAGATTATAAAAAAACAATATGCAATGTGATCATTTTATTTTATTTCTGTAATACAATGTTTGTTTCTTGTCCAGCATTAATCAATAAATAGCATTAAATCATTTTAAAATGAACAAAAGTTTGGCAATGATGTCCACTGGCCCTGTATGAATATCAGAGCCCATGCTGATACATTATCCTTAATATAAACCAAAAATGCTCTTGATAGATATTTAGGATTCAGTCAACATAGCAGATTGATTATTCTCTCAGCACAGGATTATCTTTAACATTCTTTATGACAAAATGAATGTGGAAGTCAAGAAATATATAAGTTGCGAATGTAACACACCTGATTCTGCACAGTTAGTTTCCATGACAGAAATTTAAAGAAGCCTCAAATCTCCTTATCCTTTTTAATCGAGCAAGAAAAATAAGAGTAGTTGTACAGAAATGTGAGAGGAGAGCTTGTATTTCTATATATCAGTTCTATAAAAGCTTAACTGAGAGAGTATTTCTGAGCCTAAACGTCACTCGTGGTGCTCCGTGTCGGGCTCTTCTTCAAGCGGCTGCTCCTCAGACTGTCATGTGTTTACAGCAGGGGCCGCGATCAGCCCGCCATCCTGCGCAGTGTTGTAAGAGCCACAGGAGCTGCATTTCATGCCCAACACGTGGAAGGAGACAGTGCAGTGAGCCTGGCAGTCATTGCATATGATCTGTGAACATAAAAACACATACATACATAAAGTGTAGCTGACTTATAAGGACAAATCTCACAAGAACAGGTCATATTTCACTGTAACATCAAAGGAAAAAAGTAAGAAATTATTCAGTTAATTATTCAAATAAAAAAAGAATATTTCTACATAAATAAAAGGTAACCAATTGAATAAATGAAACCAGATTTAGGGCCATTTATGATTGTGACCCACACTTTTTTGTCATTCCCAATAATTTTACAGTAAAAAGGTATTATAACTATTGTTTCTTATTAAATCAGTATAATTAAAGGTAAATTCTACCATGAGGAAAAAATATAACAATTCTTTTTTCTTTCTTTTTATTTGCATAACATTAATGAGAATGCAATTTTTATTTCAGAAATAAGAACTGGTGAATCAGAGGAAATGTGCTGAACTGTCATGGGAAAAAAATATGGTCCCACAAGAGGTGTACTGTAATTTTATTTTGCAATATATTCAAAAATGGATTATTAACATAACTACTATAAATAAAACTACATAATTATAGAAAATTTATGAAATATGAAAAGTCCAAGAAAAGTCAGGTTTTAAGAAATTCCTGTGTTGTTATTGTTACCTAAAGCTATTATAAATCATTTTTGTTCACTGAAATAAAATATAAATATTATATGAAACACTCAAATTAAAATGAGGCATGTTTCCATGGCAACAAACTGAAATAAGTTAAAAACTACAATTACTAAAACTAAAACTGACATAAAAATAAACTGAAAATAAGTTAAATAGAAATGTAAAAAAAAAACTAATAAAAAAGACAAAAGCCTTAAACTGAAATTAAAATGAAAACTACAAATATAAAAAAGGTCATTCAAAATATTAATAAATACTATAAAAGTATATAAATAGTTCTAAAATAAGACAGCAAGAGATTCACCTTATAAATGGCAGAAGAAAAAAAAAAAACGAAACTACTGCGGCCACATGCTGTAAGCTAAAATAATCATTCTGAGCTTCACAGTAAAATGACCAAAGTAGATATTGCCACATCCGAGCTGAACCTTTGGCATTTTAAAACTGCAGGATATGAGCACATCTCACAGACTCATAAACGAACATTCAATTCTGCTTGTGTCTGCATTGCTCCTCATTTGAATGTTCATTTAGATAAAGTGTCTGCTAAATGAATATATGTAAATGACGGCTCTGTTACCTTGACTGTAGTGTCCCGGTACTCTGTGGGCATGGGAGACTGGGCAATTTCCTTATCTCTCTCTTCCCAGAACTCCTTCATGTTGAAAGCCGAATGCATACACAGAGGACAGCGGTAAGCACTGCGGGACAGACAACATAAACTCGCCTCTCAACATGGAGTGCAGTGAGGAGTGGCAACATGTTACTGTATATCAGATGAGTGTGACACTTCTTAAGTTAATAGAAATGTCAGTATGAATCTATGCAGAATTAGCAACAAGTCATAAGAAATCATTAATGGGATAGTCACAAAAAAACATAATTCCTTACCCAGTTATGCACATGTCCTCAAAGCATGTCCTGCAAGCAAAAATTTTAAAAAAAAAGTGTTTTTACATTAAATCACATTCATTTGATGACACATGGGTCAGGGCACCAGATGGTACACACTCTGTGATCTTAAACATAGGATTTCAGCATTTTTAATAGAAATGATACTTCCTAGCAAATATATTTAAGATAAATTTAAAAGTGTTTAAGAGCATTTAAATACAATTTTGTGACTTTGAAGAATCTGTCATGACTTTTTATCATTGACAGGTATTTGTTCTTGTTTTAAGCATAAACTCACTTAATTTAAGTTTTCAAGACTATACACTGCCGTTCCCAAAAAAAGTTTGGGATCAGTAAGATTTGTAATGTTTTTTAAAGAAGTCTCTTCTGCTCATTAAGGCTGCATTTATTTGATCAGAAATAGAGAAAAACTGTAATTTTGTGAAATATTATTGCAATTGAAAATAATGGTTTTCAATTTTTATATACTTTAAAATATAATTTATTCCTGTTATGCAACGCTGAATTTTCATCAGCATCATTACTCCAGTCTTCAGTGTCACATGATCCTTCAGAAATCATTCTAATATGCCGACTTATTATTAATATTGGAAACAGTTTTTCTGCTTTTTTTTGGAACCTGTGATACTTTTTTTCAGGATTCTTTGATGAATAAAAAGTTAAAAAGAACAGCATTTATTCAAAAAAGAAATATTTTGTAGCAATATACACAACCATTCATAAGTTTGGGGTCAGTATTTATTTATTTATTTTTAAAGAAATGCTTTTATTCAGCAAGGATGTGATAAATTGATAAAAAGTTTTAATAAAAACTTTATTTTAGAAAAGTTTTCTATTTTAAATAAATGCTGTTCTTTTTAACTTTTTATTCATCAAAGAATCCTGAAAAAAAGTATCACAGGTTCCAAAAAAAAGCAGAAAAACTGTTTCCAATATTGATAATAAATCAGCATATTAGAATGATTTCTGAAGGATCATGTGACACTGAAGACTGGAGTAATGATGCTGAAAATTCAGCTATGATCAGAAAAATAAATTATATTTGAAAAGAATATAAAAATAGAAAAACATTATTTTAAATAGTAATAATATAGTGGGGGTTTTTTTGTATTTTTGGTCAAATAAATGCAGCCATGATGAGCAGAAGAGACTTCTTTAAAAACATAAAAAATCTTACGGATCCCAAACATTTGAACAGCAGTGTATATCTTCATTTTCATAACAAGTAAATGTATCTTGATTTAAGGATCTTTAGATAATTTGTATTGGGGAAAAAAAAAATATGCATGCAATGACTATGAATTTAAGACTTTCTGCTTTTAACTTAATTTGTGGAAGGGTAAATTAAGACTTTTTAAGACACGCAAAAACCCAGATTTTACATTTTTCATATAATGACAGTCAAATAAATTTAGTCAAGTGTGTCCAAACCGGTAGTGAATATTACTAGTAATAATCAAACACTCACTTGTGTAGCAGATGACCGCAGGGGAGCACATGAGCCCCTATTCTGGACGTGTGGATGTCCTCCATACATACAGGGCAGTTCTGCCTAGAGACATTCTCAACACACTGAAACAGCAAGCACTGATTAATATTTCACTGCTATCAACAAAACGATCAAGCAATGTTCAAGAATCAGGAGAAGACACTACCTTGTGATTATCTTTAAGATCAGTGGCTAAACATAAATTGCACTTCGTACAATGGAAGTATTTCTCTTTTGGGCCAATTCTAAAGGTAACAGAGGAGAAGAAAGTCAATGAGAATCTTACTAAAAGAATTACAAATGTATTGCTGCGGTTCAATAATGAAGACACCTCTAATTTGTACGTTGTTTTGCATGTTTTGTTTATTCATTTGCTAAATTAATAAACGTAAATGTCATGCAAACCTGCAAATCCCACAGGGCTGGCAGTGGTACTGCTTCTTGTCTTTATCAAACAGATGGCAAATGTCACAGTAATACTCCCCAAACTTCACGGCACATTCTTTACACGTCTGTTGAGCCTAAAAAACACAGGATGCACAAGAGCTTTAAATATGATCAGAGAAATAAATATATAGCCTATATTTTGCATTGAGAAAAAGCCTATTTACAGGTTTTGTGAGATTCATCCAAGCAAAGTCGATTTTATTTAGAACTTAAATAGCTTAAATATGACTTTACCTCTTGAATAGTATTGCATGCTCCACATTTGACCTCTCGGACCTTAAAGCGGTCCATTTGATGGTTCTCTTCCCCATCATGACAGAGTCTGCAAACATAAAACTTCCCACAGCAGGGCGCCTACAGAGAGAGACAGATCACAAACACATTTCAATACACATGCAACAACCCAGTTAGAAGCACCACTGTAATGCACACTGTATGTTAAAGCAACAACATCAAACATGCTGCAGGAACAAAACTGTTTATTTCTTTGTCCCTAGCGAGCAGAGCAGCGAGTCTAAACTAACATATCGAATTGGTTGCCTTTAAGCCAACAATAATTCGATTTTACTTCATAAAATAATCTTATACTGAACATAAAAACCTGTCAATAGGTCTTCTTCAGTGATGTATATTCCCTTCAGTTAGCTAGTATGCTAATTAGATTCGTTTCAATCACACGTTCTAGCGCGACAACGCACGCATTTATCCAAATAACCGAGCTAACTTTTTAATATCGGCAAGCATGTGTGAAACACAAAGTCTACATGTAACTAAATGTCGCTCACTTTTAACAAACAGCTACGAACGTAATGCACACATCCGTCTGGCGTGGCGGCCATGTTTCATTTAAATGCGAGAAACCTTTATTTAAAAGTCCTTTGACATCCGTGCTCGGGGTTCTCGGTCTATTCCACTGAATTACAAAAAGGAAGAAAACAAGTTCTATAAGTAACATAAAATATATATGTTTTTTTTTTTTTAAACATAAGAAAAAATAATTATTTTAATTTAATAGTTTAATTTGACGATTTTTATGAAAACAGAATATTTTTGAAGATACTACTCCATGTAAATTTAAATCTGCTTGATGTGTAGTCCTAACGAAATGAAATATGTAGAATTGCATTATATTTCCTGACCATATACGGGTCATTCATGGGATTCGGTAACATTATCTATCTATCTGTCTATCTGTCTATCTATCTATCTATCTATCTATCTATCTATATATCTATCTATCTACAGTGTTGGGGTAACGCATTGCAATAGTGTAATGCATTACTTTTAAAAGTAACTTTCCCGAACACTGTCTATCTGTCTATCTATCTATCTATCTATCTATCTACATACACTGCCATTCAAAAGTTTGGGATCAGTAAGACTTTTCATGTTTTTTAAAGAAGTTTCTTATGCGCACCAAGGCTGCAAATATTTGATCAAAAATACAGAAAAAAAACATTAAAATTGTGACATATTTTTGCAATTTAAAATAACTTTAATATACTTAAAATGTAATTTATTCCTGTGACCAAAGCTGAATTTTCAGCATCATTACTCCAGTCTTCAGTGTCACGTGATCCTTCAGAAATCATTCTAATATGCTGATTTATTATCGATGTTAGAAACAGTTTTTGCAGAAAAGCCTCCAAGCTTTTGAAAAATACATTGCGGGATAAATAAGCACATAGAATTTTCTTTTTTTTAGACAAGTTCTTAACCAATTAAGTTTAAAAGTGTTGTTAATGCCAAAAAGAATCTATCATCTCTAAGCCACCGTCTACTCCTTTGCCTGATATGATGTCCTCAGCTCTCCCTCAGCTTTGGACAGTAAAACTCTCCCAAAAATGGTAAGATCCCTTGGTAGCCAATTATTCGAGATATATTTAGTTTTCATGATTTTAGATATAAAATTAAATTGTTCACAAGTAGCTTTATAAGATTTTAAAAAGAATGCAGTGTCATCAGGCAAGTGAGAATTGAGAAAGTTATCTATCAAATATTTTCAGTCCCAGAAAATAAAATTTGAATAGAAAGAAGTTCAGCAACTAATACAAACAGAAAGGGGGAAATCGGCCAGCCTTGGCGTAGGATACAACACGATGGATTCCAAATCTTTTGGAGGTTCCCGTATTAAGAATAATAGAACTAATAATATCTTTGTAAAACATTTCTATAATATCAATGAAATTATTTCCAACCCCAACTTTCAAAGAATGAAGTAAGAAGCCAAGTTCAATAGTAAAAATCAAAAAACAAATTAAGAGCCCCTGACGCTATCTGGTCAGAATAGTCTAAAATAGGTCAAAAATAAGACGAATATTATTACTAATATCTTAGTAATAATATATTACTAAGATATTACATGTCTATTACCAGTGTTGGGGGTAATATATTACAAGTAACGCGAGTTACGTAATCAGATTACTTTTTTCAAGTAACTAGTAAAGTAACGCATTACTTTTTAATTTACAAGAGAATATCTGAGTTACTTTTTCAAATGAGTAACGCAAGTTACTTTTTTTTTTCAATTTATTGATTGACAGCTCTCCTGTCCCCATGTTGAGAGAAATCAGAAGAGGTTACTGTAGTTCTAAAATAAATATGAATATGCATTAATTCATCTCACTCACACACAAAAAAAACACACAGATTCAGTATTCCTCAAAATGAATAAAAAAATGCAACTCAGAATATGACGCAAACCTGCAATAATTAAATGTTAAACAACACAAATATCCTTTATGTATTTATTCCCATTCTATAAAGCAATGTCTTCGCTTCTGACCTTCAATGATCCAGTTTAACCGTACTAATAAACTAAAATTACTCTAGACAAACATTTGTGTGTCTTTTTTTATTGCTGAAGTGTGTTGAAATGTCTTCTTCTGCATTCTACTGTACGGATGTAAATTTACTTTCCCTTCAGCC